CCTGCTGATTGGGTTTTGAGAGGTTAACTCTGGGTCAACATCTGTAGCCACTGAGCTCTGCCCAGTCACTTCACTGGTGCAAACTTGGCTGTGAGTTCAATCAGGGAGGTAGCAAAGAAACAGGAAAACAAGGTTGACCAGGCACAGAAGAGCAGAAGCCAGAGGTCATGTATGATGGAGTCCCTAGATTCAAAACAACTTTACAGAAGAGTTGCAATTGCTCACTTGTAAAAATCGTGAAGCAGGAGAGTCAAGAAGGAACAATAAGGGGAGGGGGCAGAACTCAGCTGCTTTGTCATACAGGGTAATACGCTGCCTTTCCCATCAGCAGATTTACAAACACCCCACGAGCACAACCCCAGGGGGCAGAAAGGAAAACTCAGACACTGAGCAGGAAGTCAAGTACTATTACAGGTCCAGCTTCCAGATCTGACTCCCAGCCTAGCCCCGCTGCTGTCTCCTAAAGGCAATGTATTCTGACCACCTCTACTGCTGATTCAGATGCTGGAGGGAAGGGGGAGAGCAGCTCCATACATCCAGAAGGTAAGACAAGGGCTGAGGCACACAGCACCAGCTGGCTTCCAGAGTCAGGGCATGGGCTGGCCAGACAATCAGCACCTGCAGCCCTAAAAGGCTGGGCTCCCGGGGCTGGGAAGCCTCTCGAAAGACTGCTGCTCTCTACAGTGAAGGAAGCGGCTACTGCTGGTGCCAGTTCATGTGAACTACACTCCTTCACACCAGGGAGGGAAAAGGCTCCATGGACCAGCCAGGACTGCACACAGTGATGCGCTGAGGCTCCATGGTGGTGCCTCATGGGCAGGTACGCGATATTCCCCATGTATACACTGGCCAGGTCTGTGCTTCTCCTAGAGCTACCCACAGGCGTCTCCATGTTAGAGGCCTTCTCTGCGCACCACAGTGACTCACAGTCAGTGCAGACACCATGCAGGCTGCAGTTGGAAGGGCCACAGTCCAAGACATCACAGGCTGGGCCTCTCCAGAAGTCCCCAGTGCAGTGGCACTCCCCTTGCACGCAGTCCCCATGACCGCTGCAGTCTGCGGGCTTGCAGGCAGGCTCGTGGATACACATGATGGTCGAGATGCTCCGAGGGCAACGCCACATGTTGTCAAAGGAGCTGGGGACAGAAGACAGGTCCCATAAGGCATGCAAGCATTGTGCTGCTGCCAGCCCTACATGAAACCAGTTGATATAATCCACATTTTCATCCTGATTATCACTGGCAAACAAGAACATTAATAATGGGAAAATATAAACATAAAACTAGATGTGAGTCAATGTTAACTAAGCGTTAACTATTACTGGATAGGAGTAATTTCAAACGTGGAATTACAGAAAGCAACATGCAAGCAAAGTCTCCCTTTAAGCAGTCCTAGCTTCCCTAACTTTGGCATTCAACACGCCTTTTCTTGAATATTATTTGCTTTGATATAAGTGATGTCATTGCAGTTATAGCAACGCTTAGCTTTCAACTGTCAGACCGCAAACTGAATTTTAAATCCCTTCATGTTTACAGTCAGAAATGACTAAAAAGCTAAATTTAAAGTAAAATATTCTTTCAGCTTCTCATGTGAGGCAGGGCAGGGTCTCCAAGTCAGTGTTTCTCTTCCATAATAATAAGCTGTTGACAGAGCTCTGCTAATTCCTGTGAATGCGCAGCTCTGAATCTCCCGGTCCAAGAGCTGTTTCCTTATCCGATTCCCACATCAGGCCACTCAGTCATGTCGAACAGCTTTGCTGCATGTCTGAAAACAGCTAAACTTTAATCCCAGATGACTAAGTGGAAAAAATATGTAGTCACTAAATCGCTTTAAATTTTAGAGTCACTCCCTCCCTGAAAACCTGTCACTTGCCTTCACATTGTGATCTTCCAGCAATGCAGACTGACTCCCTTGCAGAGCAGAGGGGTAGGACTGAGCTCTGCATGCTAACAGAAGCTGCGTGGTTGCTTGTACAGCCCTTGGCATGTGCAGCCAGCACCTACCAGTGCTCAGATGGGTAGCTTGCAAGAGTCCCATTTAAGACAAGTGTTGCAGACCCTCCACCATCCAGGTTGATAGCATTGATGAGTCCCTGCTGCTTCAGAAATTCAGCCATTTCCCAGAGGTTGACCCTGCAAAAGCAAACAGTTGTTCGCTGCTCATTCATGCTATCCGACTCCAATGAAACTGCTATACTAGAAGCTTGGTCCCTCTCCTCAGTGGAAGGGGGGAAGTTCTCCTATCCCAGGTATGCTGACTCACTGCCCGAAGGCTGCATTAGCCTCTTCTGGCTCTGCCAGAAAGACACCAAACAACAGTGTCTTCAGCTGACCTCTTCAGCTCTGTGAGTCTCTGCCTTAAAACGTATTCCTGGCAGCTGCAGAGTCCCTCCAGTTCCAGTGACAGAATTTAAAGACCGATCTCGCACCTGCCCCAAGACCTTGCCACAACCCTGGCCTTACCCTCTGGATTCTGTCTGTCCGTCCACATGAACCAAGACCAGCTGCCCCTGACTGTCGTGTCCAACCGCAGTCCTGGCTGATATCACATTGATGAACTTGTTGAAGGTTCCTGTGCAGCAGAGGGAATAATTCACACACCAGATGGGTGACAGAACTGGCTGTTTACACACATCTGCCTGCAAAACAGTGCCCAGCAAGGAGCTAATCTAAATTGAAACACAATGAGAACAGAGCCCAGGTACCTCTTGTTCATCCAAGTCCATCTAGGAATAACATTTCCAGAAGCACTCTTGTTAAGTTTTTGTCTGGCACAGGGACAAAGAAGGGGATTCACAAGCACTCAGTTTTAAACTCCTGTAAGAGGCATCTGCTTTGAGTTTCTCTGGACAAGTATTAATGCCAATCATGCCACCACTATTTACAGTCCTCAGCAAATTCTATTCAACAACCCTGAACAGGCGAGTGCAGCCTCATCTTGCAGGAAGCCTATTTCTTGTACTGCACTTGCCGCAGACTCGGGGTAAAGTAGCACAGAAGAAATATGGACTTCTTAAGTGAGTAGCAAAGTGCAACTAGACAACATAGTTTCCACTGCTATCCCTTCCTTGCAACAGCCCCATCAGAAGGATAATCTACACCCAGGCTGAAGCTAGGCTTTAACATATTTACCTGTGGTTTGAATTTCACCACACTCAGCCATTTGACTCTGACTGACGTACACTTCTCCATCTCTTAGGAGCCAAACTACCCCACTCACAAGCTGTACAAACGGGTTTGCTTGATCCAAGACATCTTCCTCAGACAGGTAACTAGGAAAGAGAGAGCAGGAAGGGTTACCCAGTCACAGCAGTGTCATGTAAAAGCCTCTTCTGCTGCCAGCAGGCTCCAGAAGCAGGGAGAAGGGGAGAAGGTGGCTGAATGAAGGCTAGATACATCCAAAACTAGAGGCCAAGCAGTGCAAAACATTATTTCAGCAGCCAGACTGGACCCTGTTCTCTGCTATTCTGCACAAAACCACTGCTAATGATGGTCCCAGGCCACTGTGCATGAAACAACTCCTGCCAACCATGTGGCCAGTGGACCTGAGCCACGATAATAAGGGGAGAAAGCAAACGGCAGAACATGAGGGCAGAGACATTGCCAAATACTCAGGGATCTGTGGAAGCAGCTGTAACATCTTGCTGCCTGTCAGCTTCCATTCTGCAGAACAGTGATACTAAACAGCTTTTGAGAGTTTTCAGCAACAGCATCCAGTCTGCCTACAGCTGCACTGAGGGGAAGACACTGCTGGATGCTACCTGCTCCCCTCCGTCTGGGAAAGAGCTTCCTCTACTCTTCCAGACAGCAAAACCTTCCACTGAACAGTCAGACAGTAAAAGGACTGTTCAACAACCATTCCATGATGGGGCGTCGTGTGTCACTGTTGTGGGGTGCTTCCCAAGGGATATTCTTCTCTCGAGATTTAAGGTGCTGAGTAACATCTGCCTTATCAGAACCTGATGCTAGGTGACGTTTGCAACTGACAGGAGAGGACAGCAGCAAAGGTTGGGGATGAACAGCTGTGTTTTCGCTGTAAACTCTGCCAGTGGTTTCTGGTTTAAAACTGCTTGCTCTGCATGCTCCAGACATGTCTTGTGGGAGCTGGATGCTCAACTTTTAGTTTTCTAGTATCCATGATTGCAGCCAAACAAAGCTTCATGCTTTGTAGAAAAGTGTCATTGAAAATACCTGAATGGAAAACAGGCAAAAAGAAATCCCTTTACCCATGGGAAGGGGACTCAAAGACAAAATGAACACAGCTGAAAACGGATCATATTGCACAACAGCTTGAGCATGGATTAATCAACTGTCAGCTCTTAAAGCCTGCAATTAACCACTGCCAGTCTAGGTGGTAGAGGCAGCATCTTTGCTAGGTGGGGCCTAACAATGTGCCCTGGTGCACCATCCTGCTGATCATGATATGGTGTGAAAGGGTCAAGTGCAAATTACTGCCCTGACAGACCAAATTATTTAGAACAAAACTATTTCTAGTCTCATGTTTTGGAAACCGCAAAGACACCAAGCAGACAACTACTCACACAGTGCCATGACTGTATTTAACACGGGAAATCCTGCCAGAGCAGGAAAGAAGCAGGGCAGAGCTGAGATTAAGTACTCAACAGTGACCTTGCAGTTGCTGATGGTCCCCTTGGCAGAAGCCCCCTCACTAAAGCAGACAGGTCACCAACTCTGCCAGCCCCTCCACCACAGAAATTAAGGCCATGGTTCTCAGGGCTATCAGAGAATGCCTGAACACTAAAGCCCCGGCTTGGTACAGTCAGTTTGGCTTTGCAGGGACCCTTGCTGAGGTCTGCAGGCTGTGGGAGTGGGCTAACAGAAGGGTGGAGAACGCAGCAGCTTCCAGACTGCTTCTCAATCTTCTGAGACCATCAGAAGGACCTCTGGGAACCCTCCTAGGACTTTAGGGTGCCTGCTGCTGGGGAAGGGTAGCTACCAGGGGCCTTTACTTCCAGCAAGCACTGACAGTCCCTCTGTCAGCTATTCCTCACTGAAGGGTGCTTTGAGCTTTTGTCTCCAGCTGATTAGGGAGTATCACACACCCTTTCACCTGGTGTCAGGAAGAGGCCTATGTAACTGCCAGGCCGAGACCACAGCTCCCAGCAGCCAAGAGATGCTGTGGCTTGTGCAGTGGGGAGCTGGAAACTCTACAGAGAGCAGTGTCTGTGGTCAGCTGTGTGACACACCACAGGGAACAGCCTCCAGCACTGACTTCTATAACCACCCCCAACACAACAGACACCTCAATTCAGCCAGAGTAGTGGAGGGTGAAGGCAGCGCTCCAGCACTCAGGCTGTGGGGATACCTGGTGCCTCTTACTTGAAGCTGGGGCCAAGGGAAACAGTGTCCTAGTGTGTGCCAGCTGAGGAGCTATGCTGCCAAGACAAGGAGCTACA